GGCCTTGAAGGCACTGACACAGGGAGAGAGCACCCAAGAAACCTTTCATTTGAATAAAGGAGTGGATCTTACCTGACAGTAAAGATCAATAACCTCTTTCTTCTCCCACTCCGGAAGCCGCCAGCCCCCCAAATCTGAGTTTAGGGACTTTATTGAGGAGACATTACTTTGAGAGTCCTTCACTGCAGGAGGAATCCCCTCTGCCTCTACCTCTTTCTTTCCCTATGCTAATCAGGCACCCCAGAATATCGCTAGGATGGGAAAGCACTTTTGGGGCATGGAAACAATTTACAAACATAGGGATTATGGTAGTATGAATACCTCTCCAGCTCAAAGTTCCTACAGCTGTACAACCCTGCGTAGGTTTCCTACACACTCTGAGCTTCTATGTCCCTATCAGCGAAAGGGGGACAACAGTGGCTTCCTCAACGTTGTGACAAGGGTTGAAACATGATTAACTTGGTCTGGCTTTCCTGACTGTTGCAATTCCCATTGCTCCAAGTAGAGGGCACCAGACCCCCGTCCTCAGCCTACAGCCCGGTGAGGCAACACCCTTCTCAGGAACCTCTCCTTCTCTCCTAGGGAGAAAAAGAGGGACGAGGCTGGATGCTGGGTCCCATGTGATACCTCAGGGAATGAGGGGTAGGTAGGACCTCTCGGAGCTCAGAGAGGGACTGTGAAGTAGAAGGGGGCTATGGGATGAGCAGGAAGCAGCACAAACACCCAAGGTTTCTTGGGTTCTTTTCTTGGATCTGCCATCACCTCTCTGAGTGACCTTGGGCAGCTCTCTCCCTCTCTCTGAGCCTCTAATTTCCCTCACTGAAAGGTGGCATGATTTCTAAGGACAGCCTGAAACTTTGTGGCTGATCGCTGCCTCCCACCCCATACCCCCACCACCACCAGGGTGGAAAGAGCCTGAAACTCCCATCAGGTCCTAGAGGTGGTAAGTCTACCCATCCCTAACAAACTCTTGATTTCCCCCAAAAAGCCTGTCTCAACATGCATGATCTGGCCTCTGCCTCGCTCTCCTACCTCATCTCATGCTCCATTCTCCCTCTCTCACGTTGCTCCCGCCAAATTGAACCTCTTTCAGTTTCTGCAATGCACCAAACTCTTGCCTGCCTCAGGGCCTTTGCACAAGCTCTCTCTCCAATTTTTCACAGGCCAGCTCAACTTCTCCTCCTCAGAGAGCCCTACCTGACCACTAACCTAAAATAGGAAACCCTGCTATTCCTCTTCACAACTTATAATTATTTAGTTTGCAACTAAGGTACAATCCTTCAGAGCAAGGATCACTGATGCCTGATGCCCAGCACAGTGTCTGGCACAAAGTAAACATTCAATAAATATGTTTAAATAAATGCATGAATGAATGACAATGGCTTTGTTCTAAGCACTTGACATTATACTGACTCATTTAACCCCCATAGCAATTCTAATAGATACTATTGTTTTTAATTTTATATCCATACATAACCCGTTTTAAATGTCCAATTCAATAGTTTTTAGTAAATTTACAAAGTTGTACAGTCATGACCATAATCCAATTTTAGAACATTTCCTGAAAGATCCCTCATCCCCACCCAAAGTAACTTCCCATTTCCACTCCCAACCCCAGGTGACTACTGTAGTCTACTTTCTGTCTCCATAGATTTGCCTTTTCTGGACATTTGATACAAATGAAATTATATAATAGGTGGTCTTTTGCATCTGGCTTCTTTCACTTAGCGTGTTTTTGAAGTTGATCCATGCTGTATTGTGTATTAGTATTCTGTTCGTTTTTATTGCTAGTAGTATTCCATTACATGGACATGCCACATTTTGTTTATCCAATCACATTTGGATTGTTTTCACTCTTCGGCTATTATGAATAATGCTGCTATGAACATTGGCATACAAGTCTTTGTGTGAACATATGTTTTCATTTCTCTTCAGTAGATACCTAAGAGTGGAATTACTGGGTCATATGAAATTTACTTTTTAAGAAATTGTCAAACTGGCTGCCCAATTTACATTCCCACCAGCAATGCATGAGGGTTCCAGTTTCACATGATAGATACTCTTAATATCCCATTTTATAAATGAGGAAACTAAAGGTCAGAGAATTTAAGCGATTTGCCTAAGGTCACACAGCTAGCAAGTGGCAGAAACAGGACTCAACCCAGGCAACTGGGTCCCAAGTCCACTCTCATTACCATGAGTCTACCCCATGATGCTACATCTAAGAGAGAATCCATTTCTCAGCTATCACCATTTTTGCCCTTTTTGCTTCCAGAACTCCCTGAGTCAGACTCTGCTTCTACCCAGTAGAGCTGCATCGTTCCTTAACTGACACCCAAACTTTGCTCTGTCTCCTCTCTAAATTTGCAGCCATAGCTAATAGCTTAAGTTCTGTATTCAGATGGGTCTGTTCATATTCCAGACTCATCATTTTGCCAACTGTGTGACTTTGGGGCAAGTTACTTAACCTCTGGAACTTTTGGTTTCCTCAACTGTAAAACAGGAGTAACTATAGCATCTTCCTTCATGCAATTAAAAAAACTTTTCATTATGGACAATTTCTAACCTATACAAAAGTTAAAAAAAGAATATAATAAACCTCTGTGTACCCAACACCCAGCTTTAAAACACTGATCAGCTCATGGCTTATCTTGTTTCATCTTTAACCCTATTCATTTCCTCCCCAATTTCCTTTTTTTTTTAAATCAACTTTATTACATGATTTATATACAATAAAATGTACATTTTAAGTGCACAGTTCAAATAGTTTTGACGAATGAATACACCCTTGTAACCACCATAAATATTACTTTGAAGCAAATCCCAGATATCATATAATATCATTCCTAGATATTTCAGTATGTATTTCTAGAAAATAAGGACTCTTTAAAAATAAACATAACCCCAATGTTATTACTAAACCTAAAAGAAGTGACATCATCCTTTAACATCACTAAATAGCCAGTCAGTGCTCAAATTTCCAGTTATCTCATAGAATTTTTTTCTTTACAATTTGTTTATTTCATTTGAATTAGGATCCAGATAAGGACTACAAATGATTAATATGTCTCTTTATTCCCTATGGAGCATTCAACTCTGCACACATGGGGTCGCCATTAAGTCAGAATCAGCTTGACGGCAATGAACGTCAACCACAACTCCAACAGAAAAACTTCTAAATCCCTGATAAAACTAATGATCAAAAGCCAAATCTTCCCTTGACCCCACAGGCTCCAGCTCCCATCCCTCTTTCCTCCCCTTTCACAGCCAAACTTCCCCAAAGAGCTGTCTATACACATCATCTTCCTTTCCTCACTTCCATTTACTCCTCAACCCACTTCCATCTGCTTCCACCCTCACTCACCACCGAAATAGCTCTCACTGTGGTCCCAAAGGCCTTGGTATCATCGAAACTGGCAGACTCCTGTCTTGACCTCTCAGCAGCATCCCACATGGCTGGCCACTTCCTCTTTCTAGAAACTCTCTAGTCCCTCATCTTCTGGTACCACACTCTGCTGTGTCCTCTTGCCTCACTGGTATCTCCCTCTTAGTCTACAGCACAGGCTCATCCTCCCCTCCTCAGCCCAAACTATCGGGGTTCCTCAACATTAGGTCCAGAGCTTCTCTCTTATCTCTCTGGACTCTCTTCTATGCCCACTCTGCAATTACCATTCATCCGTGTGGGGCTTGGCTCACACCTCTCCTCTCAGCTCTAACCAAGACACCCACTGCCCACTCAACATCTACCTCAGGCATTTCAAAATCTCCACAAACTCAACTTGTCCAAAACCATCAGCACCCCCTCCTCTGCCACACGGTCCACTCCCAGTGAATCTATCCCTATGTATGGCTCCTCCACCCACCCACCCACTTCCACATCCAGAAACCCAGGACTCATCCTGGCACCTCCTAGCCAAAGTCTCAGCAATGTCATTATTACACCCCTTGTCTGCTCCCCACCTCCACCCTGCCCCACCCCACCCTGGACCACTGTGATTCCCCTAAGTGAGCCCCCACAGCCCACTGTGGCCTCCGCACAGCAGCCAGTGTTGTCTTTCTAAACCACAAATTGGATGATGTTATCCCTGTTCAAAACCTTTTAATGGCTTCCCGTTGCTTCAGGATAAAGACTGAAATACTTAGCTCACATCTGGCAACGCTACCCACATGTCTTCCTGGGCACAGGGGAGCAGGTTCCCTCACCTCCCAAGTCTCCCGCACTGCCCTCTCCCTTCAGTCTCTCAGGCCTTCTTGAGTCCCTAAAGCAACAAGCTCCCTCCTCTCCCTCCTTTAGCACATACTGTTCCTTCTGATTGCGAACTCCTCCCACCCTCACCCCTACCCCCACCTCTCCCCTCCTGCTCTTCTGTGTCTGGCTAATACCCACTCTATTCAGAGCTCCGCTCTGTTCTCCCTTCTCAGACAGAAGCGCTCCCCACCCCTCCAGACTCTGATGGGGCCAGCTTCCACCATTACCCCAAGAGCTGTGTTCTCTTCCTTCAAAGTAGTTTCATCCACTTGTTATTACTAATTTATTAATGGGATTGTCTGATTATTCACCTTTCCCCTACCACACTCTACGTTTCCTGGGGACAGAGACCTCACCGGGTTTCGTTTTAGCTCAGTGGCTGGCACATAGTTGGCACTCAAAGATGTTTTTTAAAAACTTTTTTATTATGCACATTTTAAAACCTAGAGAAAAGTAGATAGATACATAGATAGGTAGATAGCATCTCAAGTTGATTCCAACTCATGGTGATCCTATGTGCAACAGAAGGAAATATCGTCCAGTCCTGCATCATCCTCACGATGGCCAGCATGTTTGAGTCCACTGTTGTGGCTACTATGCCAATTCATCTCACGGGGGGTCTCCCTTGCCCTTGTTGGTCCTCTATTTCACCAAATATGATGTTCTCCTCCAGCAATTGATCCTTCCTGATGATGTGTCCAAAGCAAGTGATTCAGACAACGTTCTGTTGTGATCCATAAGGTTTTCTTTGGCTAATTTTTGGAAGTAGATTGCCATAGCTTTCAGCATCACAGCAATACACACGCCACCACTGAAAGATAGGTGGTGGTAGAGAAAAGTAGAGAGTAGTAAAATGAACTCCCATATACCGATTTTCTAGATCTAATAATTATTAACATTTTAGCATATTTATTATTTTTACTGAAATATTTAAAAGCAACTTAGACTTTGCATGACAACTCACTCCTAAATACTTTAGGATGTTTTCTTACTTACGACAACATCATTGTCACACCTTATAAAATTAACAATTCCTTAAAATAATCTAATACCCAGTCTATCTGGAAATTTCCCTAATTGTCCCCCAAAATATTTTTTTTTTACATTTGTTTTTTTCCAATCAAGATCTAAATAAGGTCTGCACGTTGCATTTGGATACGTCTCTCAAGTCTCATTTAAATCTAGAATACCTTTTTCCCCCTATGCCATTGACTTGCTGAATTGCTAAAGTATTTTAAGTAAATTACAGACATCCATGTCCCACCTTGTAGATTTCTCTGATTGCTTCCTGGTGGTGTTGTTTACCCTGTATTTCCTGTAAACTGGAAATTAGATCTACAGGCTTGATTAGATTCAGGTTGACTGTTCTGGCAAGAACATTCCGTGGGTGCTGCTTCTGACTGTGTATCATACTACATCGGGGTGTCCTCAATGCCTAGAGTTTCACTATTAGTGATGCAAATGTAGATTGGTGGCTCCAGCTGGTGACAGCCAGACCCTCTATACTGAAGTTTCATTTTCTTCCTTTAGGACCAGCAAGTAATCTGTGGGGTGAGACTTTGAAATGATTATGTTTTTAATAAATGAATGGCGGAGGGCAGTGTGACTGAACAGTAGGGAGGACAGTGGATGGGAACCAGAACCCAAAGGCTAAGTGCCTTGATAAGACATTTGAACTTTATCCCGTAAGATGAGGCAGTAAGGACCACGTTTAAGCCTGGGGAATCATATGATCAGGATTGGGAAGGGGGAGGGGTGGGGAAGCAAGAAGGGAACAGGGAACTAGCATTTCCTGAATGCTGCATTTGAACTCAACTCTATGCTAGGCAGGAGTCCTGGGTGGCAAAAATGGTTAAACGGTCGACAACTAACCGAAAGGTGGCAATTCAAACCCACCCGGAGCGCCTCAAAAGTAGGTCCTGGTGATCTGCTTCCAAAAGTTCACAGCCTTGAAAACCTTATGGAGCATAGTCGTACTCTGCACACTTGGGGTTGCCATGAGTTGCAACTGACTCAGTGGCAACCGACGACAACAACAGCTATGCTAGGCATTTGGTACACTCGATCGAAGTTAAACCGCGCCACGTTATTTATTTATTTATTTGTTTTCCTATTTTACTCTCAAAAAGTTGAACAGAGAACTACCACCTGACCCAGCTATTCCACGCTAAGGTATATACCCAAGAGACTTGAGAGCAGTGATTCGAACAGACACACGTACACCCATGTTCACTGCAGCACTTTTCACGGTGACCAAAAGGTGGAAACAACCTCAATGTCTATCAACAGACGAATGGACAAACGAAATGTGGTGTATCCATACAATGGGATATTAGCCATAAAGAGAAATGAAATTCGGATACATGCCACAACGTGGATGAACCTTAAAAACGTTCTGCAGAGCGAAATGTTAGTTACAAAACAAATACTATACGATCTCACTTACGTGAAATAAGCAAATATATGTTGTTGTGTGTCATTGAGCAGATTGAGATTCATACGGACCCCACTGGACAGAGCAGAACTGCTCCCATAGGGTTTCCTAGGCTGTAATCTTTGTGGGAACAGATCCCCAGGTCTTTTCTCCTGTGGAGAAGCTGGTGGGTTCAACTGCCGACCTTTCTGATAGCAGCTGAGAGCTTCACAATTGCGCCACCAGAACTCCTTAAGCAAATATATACACGTATATATATTTAAAAAAAAATTGCCATTGAGTCAATTCTGACTGTAGTGATCCTATAAAACAGAGCAGAACTGCCTCCTAGAGTTTCCAAGGAATGGCTGGTGGATTCCAACTTCTGACCTTTTGGTTAGCAGCCAAGTGCTTAACCACTATACCACCAGGGCTCCAAGCAAATATATAGAAACTAAAAAATATTAGTGGTTACAGAGTTATTAGTGGTTACCATGGGTGGGAGAGAGGAGGGAAGGGAAAGTTTTTGCTTAGGGGTCAGTGAGTTAATGGTGGTGAGGTAATTTGGAAAAGGATAGCGAGACTGGTTGCACAACTTGAAGAATGTAATCAATGTCACTGAATTATACATGTAGAAATTGTTGAATTGGTGTATGTTTTGCTGTGTACACTTTCACCACACACACACAAAAATTCCTATTTTACAGATGAGGAAAATGAAGGCTCTGACTTGTTCAGTCATTCGCCCAAGGTCACGCAGCAAGAGATGGTAACGACCCAAAGGCAGGCAGTGACCAAAGGGGTGGACAGGTATTTGAGGGAGAATCAGTAGCACTTGCAACCACCTGGCTGTGGGGAGGAGGGGGAGCCGGAAGCCCTACTGAAGCTGAGGTTTCCTGCACTTAAGGATGGATGAGACGAAGGAGGAGACAGAGCAGGTTGGAGGGAAGCTAATGGGCTTAGGCTCCCAGCTGCCCAAATGTCTCCATGCTGCTCTCTTGAGAAATGGTGTTTATAACATGACAATGTCGTAATTTGGCTTCCGGCATGACTTGATAATTAGCTTAAGTTATCCCTCATTGGTATTTCATTCAAAATAAGGACAAATCTCCCATTCATTCTGCTGAGGCCTGTTTTCTGTGAGTCTTATGGGGCGAGTGTGAACCTGGAGCTGTGTGGTCTCTCTCTTGACTGAAGTGGGCCAGATACTGTAGGGGACATGGTGGCCTATCTGCTCGCTCACTTAGGGTGAGTGGCGTGAGGGTGGGGTCCTGGGACTTGCACCAATGCCCAGCAACAGGGTGGCCCAGAGAGTCATTTGCAGCAGGCAGCTGCGTGGAGGATGCAGGGACAAAGAACACCGGAGACAGGTCAGTTGGGAGGCAGCTGCTGAGGTCTGGGACAAAGACGCTTAGGGCTGAAAGGGCTGTGTTTACGGGAAATGGGAAAGTTTGGATTTAAGATGCATTGACTAACTTGCTGTGCAACTTTCACCAAAAACATGAGAAAATATTATTCAAAAAAAAGAGGGACTTGGTAGCTGATTCAGAGAAGCAGTGAGGAAGATAACAAATTGAGAGGCATGCCCAGGTTTTTGTCTCAGGAGAGGGCAGGCTATTAACTGAGGTGGGACCTACAAGAGGAAGGGCGGGTCTGGGGGTGGGATGATGTCAAGTTCAGTTTTGGACACAGTTCGAATGTGTCAGATTTAAGTGGGTGTGGCTGGCTGAGAGGTCTGAGCCTAGAGAGATGTCCGGACTGAGTCACGGGCACACAGGTCAAGGGTGAAGCTATAGGCATGGATAAGCTCTTCCAGAGAAAGCATGTGGATCCCGAAGAGGACCCCCACAGAGTGGGCAGGGGGAAAAGGACCCCTGGCAAAGCTGCTGAGAAATACAAGGGAATGAGACGGAGAGGGCAAAGGGAAGGGAGTTTTCAGTGGAAGAGGATGGTTACCGTGATCAAATGCCACGGAGAGGTTAAAAGGGACAATAACTGAGGAGCAACTGGCCTTGGTGATTCTGAGTTGAACCAGTGAGGGTTCTAGGAAACTGACTCTGGCTTCTTAAGCAAAAACAGAAATGTCTTGAGAAGCCAGTAAAAAAAAAAAACAAAAAAAAAACAAAAAAAAAACTAAACCCACTGCTGTCAATTCTGACTCACGCTGACCTCTGTGTTACAGAGTAGAACTGAGCTCCATAGGATTTTCTTGGCAGATCACCAGGCCTTTCTTCCATAGTGCAGCTGGGTGGATTGAAACTACCACCTTTTGGTTAGTAGCAGAGGAACTCATCTGGAGGCAGGAGCCCTGAGGGCCAAGAAAGCACACTGTCACTCAGCAGGAATAGGCTGGCATTGAACACAGCACCCACTGGGCACCACCAGCAAAGCCATCAAGAGTAACCCCCACCAGCCTCTGTCCTGGTCATTTGTTTCTCAGAGCAGAGCATGAGCGCATCAGGTTGGCAGGGCCTGGGTCACATGCTCACAACTTGGCTGCCTGAGGCATGAAGACAGAGGCTCAGAGTTGCTTCCTTCAGTTCTTTTTTGTTGTTGTTGTTGAGATATACACAGCAAAACATACACCAATTCAACAATTTCTACATGTACAATTCAGTGACATTGATTGCACATTTTACATTGTACAACTATTCTCACCCTCCTTTTCTGAGCTGTTCCTCTCCCATTAACATAAACTCACTGCCCCCTAAGGTTCCTGTCTAAACTTTCGAGTCGCTGTTGTCACTTTGATCCCATATGTAGTTATTTAAAAAGCATAATGCCCAAGGTAAACTTTCTACACTAATTAAGCTAAACTATCCTTTTGTTTTAGGAAGACTTCAGGGGATGTTTTGGTTTAAGGCTTAACAATTATCTCAGGGCAATGGTTTCAGGGCTTCATCCAGCCCCCGTGGCTCCAAAAAGTATGAAGTCCCTGGGAATTTTAAATTCTGTTCTGCATTCCCCACCCCCCCCGCCACCTACGTTTGATCAGGATTCTCCTATAGAATCTTTGATCAAAATGTTCAGTAATGGTAGCTGGGCACCATCCATTTCTTCTGGTCTCATGGCAAAGGAGGCAGTTGTTCATGGAGGCAAATGGCCACATATTCCGTATCCTCCTCCTATTCCTGACTCTCCTTCCTCTGTTGCTCCAGGCGAATAGAGAGCAATTGTCTTGCCTTGGATGGTGCTTGCAAGCTTTTAAGACCCTAGGCACTATGCAAGGATCTAGGAGGTAGAACAGAAGCACCAAACACATTATTAGGCCAATTAACTGGGATGTCCCATGAAACCACAACCCTAAACCTCCAAACCAAGGTACCAAATCCCATGAGGTTTTTGGTTGTATACAAGTAGGCTCAGCAGCTTTTCGTTGTTGTTGTAGTTGTATATATATATAATCACACAACTTTTGCCAATTCAACTTTTTACAGGTATACAATTTATTAACATCTTCCTTCAGTTCTTTCCATAAAAATTTATTGAGGACCTACTATGTACAGCATAGTTCTAGACCCTTGAATGGAGCAGCTGTCTTAGTTTCCTAAGGTTGCCACAACAAAATACCACAAATGGGTGGCTTTAAAGAACAGAAATTTATTTTCTTACAGTTCTGGAGGCTAAAAGTCCAAATCAGGCTCTCATCCATGTCAGTTCCTTCCGTGGATCTCTCTCCTAGTTTCTAGTGACTGTCACCAATCCTTGGCGTTCCTTTGCTGCTTACAGATTCATCTCTGTCATCACATGGCATCTCCACCTGTGTGTCTCTCTGTGCCCATGTTGTTGTTGTGAGCCATCGAGTCAATTCCGACCCACAGTGATCCTACAGGACAGAATGGAACTGCCCCCCATAGGGTTTCCTAGGCTGAAATCTTTACAGAAGCAGATTCCCAGGTCTTTTCTCTCACAGAGCGACTGGTGGGTTCAAACCGCCGACCTTTCAGTGACCAGCCAAGTGCTCAACCATTGTGCCATCAAGACTCCTTTCTGTGTCTGTACTCCCCTTTATAAGACACCACTCAGGAGGGATGAGGTTTAGGACCCACCTTACTCCAGTATGACCTCATTAACATAACAAAATGTGGAAATACTATGTCTAGACAGGGCCACATTCACAGGTACAGGGGCTAGGACTTCAACATATTATTTTAGGGGGACACAATTAGATCCATAACGGCAACAAAACCCACAAAGATCCTTGTCTTGGTGGTGCTTACATTAGAAGAGAAAGACAACAGGTAACAGACATACGTATGTGAATAATGTAGAAGGGGAAGGATAAAGAAGACGGGGAGAACCAGGACAGAAGCAAGATGCAGTCTGAAATAGGGTGGTCAAGGAAAGCCTGATGAGAAGATAGATTTTAGCACATGCCTGAAGGAGGTGAGGGAGTTAGTCATTCGTGTGGGGAGAGAGTGTTCCAGGCAGAGGGAATAGCTGGTGTGAAGGCCTTAAGGCAGGAGCATCCTCCCTAAGGCAGGGGCGTGACTCGTGCTCACAGGGAACAGCCAGGAAGCCAGTCTGGCTGCAGCCCAGGGAGTAAGGGTGAGAGTGGAGGAGATGAAGCCAGAGGGTTTGGGGCAGCAGATTGCAGAGGACCTTCTAAGCCCCTGTAAGGACTTGGGCCTTCCCTCCAAGTGCGATGGGAATCCCTAGAGGACGCTGAACCTAGGGGTGACCTGATCATCTTAGAGTTTAATACGATCACTGAAACCACAATATACAGAATAGACCTCAGGGGCAAGGAATGAGGCAGAGAGGCCAGTTATGCAACTACCACAATAATCCAGGGGAGACAATGATGGTAGAGAAGGTGGCAAGTCGTTGGATACTGTGTATGTTTTGAAGGCAGAGCTGACAGGGTTCACTGACAGAGTGGATGTGGGACAGGAGTAGGTAATGACTCCCCAGGGTTCTGGCGTGAACAACTGGAAAGCTCGAGTTGCCATCAATTGAGATGAAGAAGACTGGATGAAGCAGTCAGTGGGGGAGGGTAGATCAAGAGTTCCATTTTGGATATGTTTAGTTCAAGATATGGATTAGATCATCCAAGTAGAGATGTTGACTAGGCAGTTCAAAAAAAAGGCCAGGAACGGAGATTCAAATTTGGACGTTACATGGTATTTAAAGCCATGAAACTGGATGAGCTCACTCAATGGGGTTGAACAGCCACCAGCTCTAGAAAGTGTCCACGACAGGCCATTTCTGGCGGCCCTTGGCAGAGCCATTCAGCAGCAGTGAAGTGGAGCCAAAGAGGAAACGTGAGTGGCACGCGTGGAGACAGTGCTGTGGTCTCCTGATTTACAAAGCACAGGAGGGATGTGAGACAGAGATCAAAAACAAGGCCAAGGGGACAGCTTTTTGAGGCCTGGGTTCATTTGGAGGCTGGGGGAAAGACACAGGAGAGGTAGAGGGAGGAGAGATGGGTCCCAGCTGAGGGCTTGGCCGGGAAAAACAGAGGGTCAAGCTCCAGGTGCTGAGGGCCCAGACCAGGGTCAGGGAACAGAGGGAAGAATTCCAGAAGGGGTGGCTGGACTGGGAACTAGAGAGTGGAGGAGTCAGGTGCTACTCCAGCATTTTGAATCCCAGCTCCTGCTATCATCCTGAAGGCTTTCCATTTCCACCTTGAGCCCAGGATTCCTCATCTTCACACCACGTCAGCCCCCACTTCCCAGGCCCCACCCTGCCCCTAACAAAGGTGTGCTGCACCCTGGAATCCTCCACCCTCTGACCTGAACACCCAAATCCACTTGGCTGCTTTCTCCACTTCTCCTGTAGGACTCAAGCCAGGGGACATTGTGTACCTGCTGACCCCCACCCCACCTGGTCCTTCTATCCTACAGTCTCAGTGGCCCCCTCTCCTGCTCTCTCCTCAAGCTCCCTTCTCAGCAATGGCTTCGCTTCCTATTTCAAAAAGAAAACACAGTGCTGAGCGAGAAAAGCCAGACACAAAAGAGTACATATTGCAAATTTCATTTTTATGAAGTTCTAGAGTTGGAACTGACTCGCTGGCAATGGGCTTTGGGGGTATTTTTCAGAACCAGAATATCTAATCTATTGTGATCTACAGTGATAGAAATCAGATCAGATCAGGGTTGCCTGGGGCTAGGGGTGGGAGGAGTGACTGCCATGGGATATGAAGGAATTTTCTGGGGAGACAGAAATATCCTATGCTGCATGGCTGTACTGTAGACGTTTGTCAAAAGTCATCACCTATAGACTTAAAATGTGTGTATTTTATTGTACATAAATTATACTTTAATAATGTTTATTTCAAAAAAGAGAACTGAATTATTTTAAAAGAGAAAATACATGCTATCAAGCAAAAAAGTCCTACACACACACACCGTACATGTGCACTACATCATCTGTCCCCATCCTTCCCTTTCTCTCTGCAGAGCATCCCTATTGTTCATCCAAACCCAAAGGCCCGAAACCGTCCTCACTACAAACCCACACCACAACTCTTTTGACCTGGCATTCCCACCCCTGCTGTCCTATCTCCCTCCAGCGCACAGCCTGGGAACGATTGTCTATACTCAATGTCTCCCTCTTCTGACTGCACTTGGCCTGCCACCCCTCCACCCTGCCAGACTAGTCACCCCTCGCTGAGACATCTGCCTTGCAGGACACCCACTTCCTCTCTCCTCCCTGGTTTCCACGACACCACTTTCTCTGGGGTTCCTCCTCCATTTCTGGCTACTTCTCATCCCTCTGTCCCCTCCCAAATGTCGTGTTCCCTGGGGCTCTGGCCTTGGCCTTCTGCTTTCTGCTCCTGCACATTGTCCCCATGTGATCTCACCCGCTCCCGGTCTTTAGATACCATCTGTTGCTGACAATGCTCAAAGATCTTTCTGAATATTTTTCCAAGGTACAAAGGATACGATAGAAGAGGTAGAATATTACATATACTTCAAAAGCATTTTATAATTTTTAACGTGATACACATAGTCAACCCTCATCTGGGACAGTCCACTTGGACCTCAAATCAACAAGCCCCAACCTGAACTCATCAGCTTTCTCCGAATCCTGCTCCTGTCTGCAGGATCCCAGTGTTTAAGAAAGAAATCTATGGGTCACCCTTCCACTCTATGACCATGACTGTCAATTATCCCCCTCTCTTGATTTCACCCCTATGTAGCTCCTCTCCATCCCCACCAACACTCCCGGAGTTCAAGTCTCTTCCTCACTTCCAAAGATGTTCAAACATTCATTTATTCATTCAACACATATTTACTGAACGCCTACTATGTTCCAGGCATTGATTCAGGTGCTTGAAATACATCAGTATACAAAACACATAAAGATCACTGCCCTATGGAATTTACATTCTAGCACTTGCAATAATGTCAAAGGTTGCCCTCTCTGCTTTTTTCTTTGACCCCTCTGACCACGAACTCTGCTGTGGCCACAGTGAACTTTGCAACATGCATCTGCTCAGCATCTTCTATGACATGAAGTCTCCTGCTTCTCAAG